CTCAAAATTCTTTAAACAATGATTATTGAATGTACATTCAAGTCTATAGATTCCGCTTGCATTAAAGATAAAGCATACAGGTTTATGTTTATTAGAATCGTTTCACCAGAACCGTTTTTATCAGAACCATTTTCATCATCTACAAAAGAAAAATTCCACCGATATTTTCCTTTTTATAATCTAAAATTACCCCAGGTTCTAACTTTTCTAACTTTTTAATTTTTATAATAACTGTTTTTCCATGCAAAGGTTGCCTAATTTCAATTTCATATTTCATGATTTCTTCAATGTTAACTATCATATCGGATTCAATTACAAATGATATTGCAACAAAGAAAGCCTTTTGATTTTGATCCATATTCGATATTGCCAACATTTATAATTTTCAAAAGAGACTTTTCTTAATTGTACATCCCTCAACGTTTTTAATTTTATTATAATGACTATATTCAATAATTTTAAGCTTCATATTTACTACAAGCAAAATATGTTAAGTAAATTAACAGAAAGAAATGTAAAATAATAATAATCATAAAATTACCATTATTAAATGTAACGAGATAATTTCCATCTGGGCTAATAGAAATAAGCCGATCCGATTTTGTTATAAGACGTGCTGGGTTTATGATAAAAAATATTTATTTATATTACTTTTATTTCTTAAATAATATCAATGATAGAATAGAATACAACTTACAAGCTATTTCATTTTCAAATTTTTTAAAATCGAAATTTAGTCATTTTTAGTAAATATACATAAATAAATATAAGATACAATAAAAATCAAAAATAACTTACGCGCTATATTATATTGAATAATTTTTAACTTCGATTTAGAGTTGTTATAAAATGTATAAATTCAATAATATAACAGAAACCACTTACGATCTTGCATCATTAAGATATTTAAATTTATATTGTTTATAAATTAAAAAAAAAATAAATAGTACAAAAAATAACATACCTGCTTTATTAATGACTATTTTATTAATGAATAATTTTTATTTTTATTTTTATAAATTAAACATAAGTAAATGAATATAATAGAAATAACTTACATGATGTATCATCCTTGACTAATTCGAATTAAATTTATTCATAAATGAAATTAATTATATATTATGTACAATAATTTTAAAGTTAAGTTTAGTCGAGATTTATAAACTATACAGTGAATGATGCAATAAAAATAAATATCTTACAGTCTATATCAAACATTACAATTATACATTAATCGATTATACATAATTTTAAATTTCAATTTAGTTTTTATAAATACATCATGCAACTGAAATAAATTAACTTTACCTTCTATATTTTTAATTGAAAATTTCAAATGAAAATTAGTCAAGTTTCTTAAACAATAATTACAATAGAAATAACTTACTATTTATAGCTATATGATTATTAAATAATTTTAAATTTAGTCGAGGTTTATAAACTATACAGAATGATGCAATAAAAATCAAATAACTTACTAACTACTATAACTATATCATTTAGTAAATTTAAAGTTAAATTTAGTCATGATTTATTATTACACGTCACGTTAATAAATGACACAGTAGTAATGACTTACAATTAGCTATATGGTTATTAAATAATTTTAAACTTAAATTAGTCAAGATTTACAAATGACCCGTCAATAAATACATAGTAGAATAACTTACAAGTTTTAGCTATATGATTATATAATAATTTTAAACTTAAATTAGTCAAGATTTATGAATTACACATGTAACCGTAGAATAACTTACGCGCTGTATGTACGATTATTGGATTATTGGATAATTTTAATTTTTAGTTTTATCGGTCACCGAAAATGTCCCCTAATTTTAACTCTATTGCTACAAAATTTTCAAATTAATGTATCTCAGCCAATATCGC